CTCAGACTACGAAATCACTGACTACATAGTTGTGAGTTTCAACTACTTCTCTCGCAGTTGTCTAGTAATGTCAAGACACGATAAATCACATGTTAAAGTTGCCCATTTCACGTTTACAGTTCACAAATATTACAATCATACAACAGCATCTGTATTTGAACATGGTATCAATCAAGCATGTGGTCACTATGACAACCACAACAAATTTTGGATGAAGTTATTCATTAAGAAACATTTGAAACAAATTACAGATATTTTGTCCATCTGGTTATGGAAACCCTAGACGTCAGCACATTTAAACGAACAAATATTTTATAACATTTGAAACAAATTACAAATCTCGTTAATCTTTTATCCAAATGTTTATGCAAAACCATGATACCGGAATATTCAAAAGAACACCATTTTGTTTTTCTAAGCTATAATGATGCATTTTAAGGAAAATTCATTGTAAAACATTGTTGAAATCAAAAACAGAATTTGTGTAGAAATATCGGCATATCCTGCATTTAGTTTCAGAACTGGCCAATTACCAATTCCATTTTATTTTCGTTACCACCCCTCCTGCAACAGACCCTAACACCCATGTTCCATGTTCCACCAGTAATCACTAGGATACCACAGAGGGGCAAGAAATTAATGAGAAATCTCCAGAGTATCGCTATACATTCAAAATATTTACATACAGCTTCACTATATTTACTCCACACCTAGCATCTGTCTGTAAAATCACTCTCTGAAATCTACATCGTACATTGTCAATCTGGATGAAATGTGTGTCATTTTCTGCACTTGCACTGCCTTTGCTCATGCTCTGTACAACACAGAGCAATCAGGGCTTCTGCCATGTATTTATTTAATGAGAGTGTCACTTCAGTTTGATAAATGGAGCTTTGATTTGGGAATTGATTACATAAAGGTCGGTGACACTGAAGATCACCAGTTCATGAAACGTGTTTGAGATATCGAACGCGAGATGATAACAAGCAATCTTTGATAAGATTTGAAGTGGAGTTGGAAACGTTTAGCTTGTTGCTATCAAAGATTGATATGTCATTGAAATGTACATTTGTACGCTTAGACTATTGAGTGAGTGAGTGAGTGAGTGAGTGAGTGAATGTTAAAGCAATATTATAGCTAATTTGCAGCAAGCATAGACCAGCAGCTTCTGAGGTTGATAGCAAGAGCACTCCTCCACGTCATACTCGCAATGACATTCAACCAGTCAGGTCATACAGTCTAACAACCTGGACCCGTTTTACAATGTGTTTGTAGCGACCCCTATTATAACTCAGATACTTTGACGCAGACTCTCAACAGTCAAAGTGCTACGATCACTTTGGGTGCCCAGAGGGGCGGTGGGGTAGACTTATGGTTCAAGCGTTTGCTCGTCACGCCGAAAACCCAGGTTGGATTCCCTCCATGTTGTACAATGTGTGAAGCCCTTTTATGGAGTCCCCCACCGTGATAATGCTGTAATATTGCTAAAAGTGGCTTAAAACCATACTCACTCACTCACTAGTGTGCCCAGATCCCAAATATAAATCAACTGTTATAACAACTCCCGGGGATCTATTCTGCCCCCAAATCAACTTGGAAAGCAATAAAGTACTTAGGTCATATATTAAATATATATACTGTATATGCCATAATAAGCACCCCGGGTTCTTGAAAAAATGACAAAGAGTAGTGTTTCCTTAAAACATACAATGAGTTAAATTTGTTTTCAGAACGTGATCTTCAACAATAGTCATTTGGCAGTTACATACCCCCTCTGTGCTGGTGTTTTCAGTAACAAATATGTAATATACACATGAAAATACGAAATTATGTACATTTTCACTCCTATATGGAACCGCTTATAAAGATTAATTACAGATTGGTCTAAGAGTTGTTCAGGAGGTGCTTAATACAAAAAATACGGTAAGTAGATACATGTATTTGGTCCCAACCACATCCATTTTCATTCATGATCATTTGAAACGGATACCTCGAATTCTGTAAGTCAACAGTAGAACATGTCTCTGAGTCTTTTTTGGGGGTAAATTAATTGTTAAACAAGAAAGGAAATATTTGTGCAAACACTCGGAGGGTGGACGTCAGCTCAAAGCGACTGATATACATACCTCACAGACACAGACTGGAATTTCCTGTGTTTACTCATCATAACTTACAATAAAAAACTAACTCATTTAAAAAAAGGGAGTAAATATGGTTTTACACTGGAATATTTGAGCAATATCATCATTGTTCCCATGTGGGGAATCAACCCTGAACCTTCAGCATGATGAGAGAACACTTTGACCACTAGGCTACCCCACAACTAAAATAATAAGATAGATTCTTTGTAAACAGTATTATCTAAAATAATTAACAAAGAAAACGGATGGAACACCCCTTTCAGATAACTGGAAGACCGGATAAGAAGATTGTGTCATGCCCTTGATTAGCTTTTAGCGAGAGGTGACTATGTATGAAATAAAAAAAATCGGCGATGTACATGTATTATAAGGCTGAGAAATGTTGTAACATTTTAAGTTAGAATTGTCAACAAAATGGAAGCTTATGGCAACGGCATCTTATCTGTCAATCTAGAAATATTTACTGACAGGAAAATCTTAACAATCGCTTTCATATTAGAGTGCAATGTGATTGAGAACCATGTTTAATCTATCTCAAACTTCAGCGCAATAGACGACACTTTTCAACCTGTCTCTCTAAAACTTCAACGCAATGGACGACGTCTTTAACTTCAAACAGGACCCCTCTTCATCACCTGGAAACTAGCAGACACAATACATACTTAAATCTCCACCAGTTTTTTCATACTTGACAACTGGCACACACAAAACATCCATGACGGGTGCACCCCTGCCGAAGTAAAGGCATAGAGATGCCCCACTTGAAAATATGCCTTTGTTATTGCAAATAATAGTCTGGTCTACATGAAGTGAGAATTATTTCAAAATCTGAAGTGTTTTAGACGTTTTGCCAAGCTAGCCTGTGTCGCAATTTGAGGCTTTATGATATCTGCAAGCTAAGCAATAACAGACTCTTATTCAGGTTCTCCATGTTTGATCAGTGCGTACCTGTCTAACAAAGACTGTGGTCGTTAAAGGTGTACTACTTTACTCCAGATGAACATCCTAGAGTGATCATATCCACCTCTCACGGTGGCAGCCAACAATGCGCTACACTAACCACTACAGTTCCTCTGGCAACGACTACAACTACTACTACCACCACCTCTCCTACTACAACCACATCAAACTTTGCTAATAATGAACACTCTTTGAGTTCATTATAACTGTAAGTTACTCTAGTACAACTACTACTTCCTCTAGACAACTACTACTACCTCTAGTACTACTACTACTACCACTACTACTAATATTACTACTAATACTACTTCAATAAGTAGTACCTCAAGCACCAACAGAACTACTTCCCCAATGACTAGTACAACCCTCTTTACTACTACTACTTCTACCACCACAACTACTACTACTACTACCACCACAACTACTACTACTACTACCGTCACAACTACTACTACCACCACAACTGCTAGTACTACTACTACTACCACCACAACTACTACTACTACTACCGCCACAACTACTACCACTACTACCACCACCACTACTACTACTACCACCACCGCTACCACAACAACTACTACTACTACTACCACCACAACTTCTACTACTACTACTACCACCGCAACAACTACTACTACTACCACAACAACTACTACTACTATTTCTACTCCTACCACTACTACCACCACAACTAAAACCTAAAATACCACTACTACCACTTAATCACCTTCATGCCTCCATAAAGATAGAAAAAACGGATCCCCATGTAAATTCCTAACTTCTAACAAATGTCAAACTATCTAATGAATCCAATTCACAAAAATTTAACTCAAACTTCAAATTCTAACAATAAATCAATCTGCATAACAATTCCCTTACCACCCTTTGTCAAAATTCATAATTCCATAAACTATGCACCTTTTCAACTCACAGCGGCTCCTGAGAACCGATTCAAAACTCAAATTAAGCTAAAAGAGACAATAAATATTCTTGGCAAGACGCGAAGCACAAAAGATGTTCCATATAAGTAATTAAGATAGGCGTCAGCAAAGAAGAAGTTGGAGATAAGAGTTCATAAAATTGTCTGAACACCTTTAAAAGTTTGCCTCTTGGTATAGCGAGATTATAGAAAAGGGCAGGTGCCATTAGCCTCGGGGGACTAGTGAAGAGCTTGGCATACCAAACCAAACAGCTTCAATTGATGAAGATTTTTGTGGCTGTCCCGTACAGATGCTGATGTGATAACACAAGTTTTTTTTTAAGAAGCATGCTATTTTATAATGCTTTAATATGAGGAAGCGAACAAGCGATAATACGTCAGTTGATGTGAATGAAATCTCTTGTTAGCTGAGCTACAAGTGGTGGTCGATTCATACTTTAGTCACGACACGACTAAAATAGATGCCTGTTCATTTTATTAAACTTTCTATGGACAAGGTGTTATTCATGGGGCTCCGTTTTACATTTTAGAGCTCATTATGCAACACTCGGATTGTGAAAACCACCAACAAATTAAGTGTTGTGAAAAAATTGACATGGACTTGCGGTAACTGCAACAAAATGACAGATGGGGCATATGGGGGCGTTGTTTGGGAATCCCAAAAATCTGAACAAAACCTATACTTGAATAAGCTTCTGACGATGGTGTTTACATGTGCATACCTTTAAACCAAAAATGCATGTTTTAATCCAACTTTTAACTGAAAAGATACTAAATAACATTCCTCAAACCTGTTCTCCATCAAAGGCAAACAATCTTCATAGAAAGATAAAAATATCGTTTTAAAATTACAATTTCTGATGTAATTAACATTTGAATTTTTTGTGTAAAGATACTTTTACCTCTCTCTATTTTTTTAATTGAATATTTTTTAAATGTTCATCTATCACTGATGATATAAGTCAAATTTCAAATCTGACAACAAATGTCACAATTTATTGTTCTTATTTCCATAACATGAGTTATACCAGCCTTGTCCTGACAGAAAGCAATTTATTTGTGAATAAAAAGAAATTGTTGTGAGGAAAAGCCAATGGTTCTGAAATATTACCATGCAGGTGGTTTAACATGGTGCTGGTTCATGAAATTGTCACATACACAGCAACCATACCTCATCATCGTGTCAGCTGCGACAGGTATGTCATTTGATGACCAGCGTCTGACGTCAGAGCTTGGAGTCTTTGGTCCCTGAAAACACATTGTGAAATATAGTTACGTTGAACAGTACTAAAATTCAACATGGCAGGTGATTAATAACAAAAACAACAATTGTTTTGAAAAACATTGTATTTTTATGGCAATGGCAATATGTTGTTTACTTTTTAAATTTATTCTTTTAATAGATTTGTGCGTTAATTAGTTTTTACTTGATTTGCACTTTAAACAAATGAAAAAGTATAAGTTTGAACTAAACCAAAGTTAAATATTAATATTTTTAATCTTTTTGTAGTTGTTTATTTTATTGTTGTTTTATGGGGCAGGAGGGTTGTAGATGGGATTCCTTTTTGTTTGTTAGATTCTGTAGATTACCATATGAGGTGACACCAATCATAAATTGGTCCCAAGTCAATAACAGGCTGCTAAGATACTGCTGTGGAATTCTGTTTGGTCTGAAATAACATTCACTCACTCACTCACTCAATTATTCAATTATCCATCTTCAATCATTCATCACTTTCCAATCTCCTCCTCATGACCCATGTTGCCACAGCAATTCAAGTTACCGCCCTTATTTCTGCACATGACAAGGGCGGGTAACTCTAAACATCTTTCATTTACATGAAAACATGTATTTTTATATTCCAGTGAATATAAGGTACAATCTGGGCTTATCAACATCATAAAAACAAACATAAAACACACTTTTGCTAAGTTTCTCCCCACACCACACACCCCTGTCCACAAGAAACAGAAAACATTTTCTTAAAGTGAACTTAAGATCGACGTCTTCTCTCCTGCTGTCGACATCACAGTGGTTCTCAGCATTCATAAATAGATATAAACAAGCATTAAAATACTGTTACATCTATTTACTTTAAAAAACAACATCAAAGGCAAAAATTACATGTTATTCTATATGTCCCAAAATGATCCCAAGGAACAGAACCAGAAAAAAAGCCTTTCAACTTATAATTAATTCATCATGTTTATCTTCAGACCAATATATAATTTTGTGAAATGGGATTTCTCTGCTAAAAACAAATAATCCTCAGTACACTACTTAGACTGTGTTTCCAGCAGAAAATTGATTTATTTATCACTCTTGTTATGGACATGATCATTTATCACGAGTATGTGGGTATAATGCCTTCTTATCACGGGTGTAAGATTTGCCAACAGTGCACTTTTTTCTGTCCCCATGAACACAGTTGCGGGTTTTCTGACTCAACGGGTGGCGGTATTGTCAGTCGACAACTCCACAGTTCAGGGGCTCTCATGTTCCACAAAACCAGACTAAGCTATTGTTGTTGATATTTCCCGTGTCTCGTATTACGCTGGGTGGAAATGATTCATGGGGGTTCCCCCTTCTCCCCTTTTTCCCTTCATGCAGGTAGATGATGTCACCTGAGTTAATAAGCTGCAGTGTCTCATGTTACTTAAGTTAGAAATGATTCATAAGAGTTTTCATCTGAAGCATCCTATACCCACTCTTGTATTTCCCTCTCCAACTTAATCCCTGTCCCACTTCTCAGGCCCCATCCTCCTCATCTCCAACCCCTTTTCTAGATCACTACCCCTCCTCACACCTCCTGACCCCCATCCCACTATTATCTCTGCCGTAGTAGATGCCCTTTCCATTCCCTCATCTTACACCCCTCCCCCCCCCCCACCCCCACCCCCCCACCCTTTCCAAAACCACCCACACTCAATCTCCGTCCCCTTATAGCTCCCTTCCAAAACCACCCACTTTCAATCCTCATTACCCCACCCCCCCCAAAGACTCGCATACAAAACCATCCATACTCAATATCTCCTTACCCCCTCCCATTCTACACACACGAAACTACCCATACTCAATCCCCATCCCCTTACAACCCCCCCCCCCCCCCCCCTCCTTTAATACCACACCCATACTCAATCTCCATCCCCCCCACCTCCACCCCCCCCATCCCACACACAAAAAAACACCCATAATCAATATCTCCTTACCCACCCACCCCACCATCCCCTCCCCCCCACACAAAACCACCCATACTCAATCTCCCTCTCCCTCCCTCCCAAACCAGCCAAAACAATGTCACACCTTTCACCCCAAACAACTCCAAATCCACCCCACTCCCAACCTTGACCCTACTCCGACTAATAAGCTACAGTGTCTCATGACACAATCTTAGGAATGATTCATAAGATGCCCCCCTTTTCAGCCTCCCCACCCCCCTTACTCAGCAGCCCCCTAACCCCATTTAGATAGATGATGTCACCTGAAGTAATTAGCTTACCTGAGACAGGTGAATTACCTGGTCCAGGTGAGCATGATTCACGGGTCAATGTCACAATACCTCACTAGACAGTCAAGATACATGCCTAATGCTCAATTTGGGGCTTCATGTGTGCTTGTTTATATAACTACACAACCTTGTGTAGGGGGCAACAAGGCATTGTACATGAAGCTTACATGCAGCCTTGAAGCAGCACATGAAAAACATTCTTTCTTATCTTAGCCAAACACTAGACAATACTGAGACAAATTCTGTGTGAACAGATCTAAAGCTAATGAGGTCCAATGGTTTGGAACCAAGGATCAAGAAATATAATGTTCGGGTTTAGATATATTCTTTTACAAAAAATTAAAGACATTTTTTCTCCTCCTCTCCATCAAATCAATCAACTGACATTGGTCGTACATCTTGCCATTCAAATATCCTGAATCTTCTAAAAGTTGACCACAGTTATTGAAACTTGTGCTTAACTAAGTCTGTATTAAGATGTCTGTCTTCCATTCCAATAACTTTAGTCTTTTTGAGTCCAGCTACCTACTGTTTATGACTGTTCTGTAGCCTAGTGGATAGAGTGTCTGCCAGGAGAGCATATGGTCAGTGGTTCGACCCCCGGCTGCGCCACCTAAAGCAATTAAGTGGGCTAGCACTACAAAACTGGCATTAGTCAGAGCTGGTACAAGCTACCCAACATGCATATATCACCCCATTTCCCCTGACCTCACGTACTGCTAGTGATTGAATTGTGTTTAACACTGTAGTCAGCAGTACTGCAGCTTTAACACAGACAGACAGTAGATGACAGAGCGTAGGAATGATGGACTGGTCATCCTCAGGTCAGGTTCAAACAAAGCCATGCTAGGAAATGGGTCCAGAGTACTTATCATAATGGAATGGAGTGAGTGAGTGAGTATGGTTTTACGCCGCTTTTGGCAATATTCCAGCAATATCACGGCAGGGGACACCAGAAATGGGCTTCACACAATGTATCCATGTCGGTAATCGAACCCGGGTCTTCGGCGTGACAAGCGAACGCTCTAACCACTAGGCTACCCGACCACCCCTAATGGAATGGCGGTAAAATGCCCTGGATAATTGAGGATGTGGTCACACCATCCTGGTTGTATTCAAACTTAGAAAGCCATTTTAACCAATGAATCCCAAAAAGCCACTATTCATGTTACCTAACTGATCTAGATCTGACAATAAAATAACCTAAACCTGTGTGACATGGAAAGACCTAACCAGACCATTGTGACAATGGCAACAAGTCTTTCTACAAACTAAAGACACATCTACCAACCGATCTCATCGAACAGGGGCAACTAATGCGTGATACTTGATCTTCAATCAGACATTAACTTCATATTCGTCACTGAGGTATGAGAAGCAGAATGCCAATTAACACCAAATATTTCACTCACACTAAAAATAGTTCAAAGGATTATCAAGCTCTGGCCTTTAAGCAAATCTTGTTGCATATACACGTACTTCATTCCTACGTGTGCCAAGGAGTTGGACCTTACAGTCATGCGCGCTGTCATTACTTCTAAGGAGACATATAATAACATCCAATAGTGATGAAAGTTTTAAAAAAAACTGCTCATACAGATACAAACATCCCAAAGTTTCTTTTAACATTAAAAATAACATTTAAATGATTAATATTTTCAATTCATAATAATGATTAATATTTTTAATTCATAATCACTAATATGTTTTTCATTTCGGAAAGTGAAATACAAATACAGACTTTGGTCCTTCAATGAATCTCTGCATCAGTGTTTCAGTGTCAGTGGTTCTATTTAAGGAAATATATAAAAAAAGACTGCTAACTCTAAAGTGCTATTTTATTTCCAATTATATTTGCATGATCCAGCCCAAACCACCAATAAAAATAGAGCGTGCAGATTACTAGATCCTCGGAATGTCCTACCCTCCAACATCAAACATGAGTCTTCGGACATTATTACAAGAATTCAAAATGATACAAAGTTTTTAACTGCTATGTGTGAAAAAGTTTGTTCTGCGATTCCGCCGTGCTAACAACAAAATATTTATCATGATCATCCAAATACGTTACCGCGGTGTGGGTTGTTTGTTTTAGACAAGGTGCTGTGGACAGTTTATATTATGACAGAGCTGAGGCCGAGTGGAGACACATTGTACACTAAAACCTTTACCCAACGCCAGTAGGAACAAAAGGCATCTGTAGCTGAAGATCATCAATGCAAATAAGCCTGTTGCTCCAATGTTGTTCTACCGATGTGTGCCTCCAATCATAGATCAATAAACGCTTAAACACAACCAATGCCCAAGCTTTGCTTGTTTGTTTACAACCATGGTCGCAAGTTGGACAACTTTGTGACACTCTCCGATACCAAGGGCACCAGGGCGGGAGTTTAATCTAAATCTCACAAGTGACGCCACGTGATTAATTTCTTCAAACACGGACAAGAACATTTTAATTTTTTCCAATTCGCAGAGGTTGACTCAAGGATGGCGTAGTGTGATTGGCCTTATATCTTAAGGCTGAAATATAAGTCATATTACTATATGTAAAGGATAAAACATGACTCGGAAGGTTTGGTTGCCATAGAAAAACCAGAGTGAAGCAGAGACCGATCTTGTTAAACTGAGGGTGTTAGCCCGAAATTTATTCATGAGGTCACTGCTTATCCTGATGTCTTAATAAGAAAAAGTAAAACCTCCAAACAGGGTTATTATGAAAAAACAAGTAACGTCTAAAAC